GCGATAAGCCACCCAGGAAATGAATGGATTTTCGTGGGCGTGAGAGCCACGTGTGTACGAGGACAAAGGTTCCGGCTTACCCTGGGCTGTGTTCTGTGGAAAATAACATGCCCCCATGCGGTCCTTCATCCTAACGCCCAGCTTCAGGTGATTCAGGCTCCTTTTCCATGGAAGGCTGTTGTAATGGCCATTGTGACCAGAGACCGGTCTTTTGGACAATGGGAACTTGTCAGTTCCCACGACTTGAGGCTCACAGGGTCCGCTGTTACCCTGCCACTCACCACGGGAGCTCCTGGAGGTCGCAACAGAGCTGCTTACTTATGTTGATGATGACCGCAAACGCCGCATTTCTTTCCATTTCTCTTTCAAGCAGAAGCATGTCTGGGAGAGTAATTATGGAAGAGAAGGAAGACTTCTCGCCTCCAATGAGCCAAGGGGAAGCTGCTGTCGTAGGCTGGTCGAAAGGCGTAAATGAGCCCTCAGTACGTCGGGATGCGGCAGAGACTCAGGTCTGCAGAGGCCGGTGAGTGTTCCGACGGTGCCCGCGAAGCCCCGAGTCTGGAGAACCTCACTTTTAATTAGCATCACGGCGTCTGGTTCCACAGAGAGGCCAAGAGAATGAACCTGCCCGCTGCCCAGGAGACCTGATGAGATTCAGCTCAAGGCTGCCTCGGGCACGGTCGCGCTCCGGCAGCCCCCCCAGGGCCCTCCTCTCCCTGGACGGCCGCTGCTCTGTGCACGCAGCTTCTCAGAGCAGCGGTGAAAGGAACACGGCACCGTGAGATGCCCTTCGTGTTAGGAAATACACAGGAAGTTATTCAGACGTGAAGACGCACCGGGTCTGCCACTTACTCTCAAATGATTCCGAAAAAAATACGCGCGAGTGTGTGTGTGTGTGTGTGTGTGTGTGTGTGTGTGTAAAGAGAGTATGACCCAGCAAATGTGGTAAAGCGTTAACATTTAGGGCATCTGGGTGTAGCGACTACAGCAACTTTTCAAACTATTCTTGCAGCTCTTCTGCAAGCCAGAGAACTAGAAATTACTTCAAAATAAATGAATAAAACAAAAAGGGGCGCTACACCACTTTGCTAATTAAACCGTCATGAAACTCTCTAAACAGGCCGATGACACTGAAATAAAAGACTTCGGGGTGCCCGGCGCGTCATCATCACGGTGACACCTACTCTTGCTCTTGACGTGGTTGGTTCTTTGGCTCCTGCTGCAGGACTGACAATGTCTCGATGAAAGTTATGATTTTTTTTTTCTGTCTCTTTTTGATAAAATGACAGCAATTTCCCAAGAAAGGCTAGCGGTGAATGACAGGCCTATTTCCAAAGCGCTCTGCTCATTTATCAGCTCTGGGATATGTTTCTCGGTGTTAGCTGGAGAGATTAATTTCTCTCTCCCGCAACCATTTAAGTACAGCGAATGCTTCGGTCTTGCCCGTGAACTAGCCATTCCGCAGCTTGGTGCCAACGGATTGGATTCAAACATGAAAAATCAATTAAGTTTCCACTTCCAGTATTTGTATAAACTGTTATTTATCACGGGCAGGATGGATGGAAATGTGAAGGCTGTTCTTAGGCATTTAATTCACATGAATAATAAATCAGGATAAAGGTCTAAAAATTCAAAGCAACTCCAGGTCAGAATCTTGGGCCCACGTGGGTGCACCTCCGAGGGTAAGAAGAATTCGGGCCTCTAATTTTTCAGGCAAAGA